GCAGCAACTGCAAGTAAACACCGGACAGTAGTAAGACGAGCAACCGGTGCAAAGGTTTTTTCATAATCTATGCCATACTCCTGGGAGTAACCCTTAGCAACCAACCGAGCTTTGTAGCGCTCAATAGATCCATCTGAATTTGTCTTGATCTTATACACCCACTTACATCCGATGGGAGTCTTGCCAGCAGGTAAATCCACAAAATCCCAAGTATGAGTCTTTTCTAAGGCCTGTAATTCCTCAGTCATAGCTTTTTGCCACAATGGATCAGCATTCGCCTCACGAAAAGACCGAGGCTCATGATGAGATAGAATGGCCGAATAACAATGATAGTCAAGTAAGTGAGAAGGGGGACGACTTACACGAGTCGACCGTCACTGAGCAATAGCTGACAAAGGTGCAGAATCAGAAGAGGGCTCAGTACGAACTGTCGGTTCAGGATGCACAGGTGGAGCCACTTCAGAAGACGGAGGTATGACAGGCGTGTCAATGAGCTGTGAGTCAGAACCTATATCTGTATCTGGAAAAAGATCTGAAGTAATAGACATGAATAAAGGAGACGCCGAATCAAACGGAATATGGAACTTAGACAAGGAGGAAAAGGTAGTATGCTCCCAAAAGGTAACATGACGCGAAATACGCAACCGATTAGAAATCGGATCCCAACACCTAAATCCTTTGTGTTCTACCCCATAACCCAAAAAACAACACAGACGAGCTCGGGGTTCTAATTTGGTTCGTTCATGGGACGGAAGAAGAACAAAGCAAACACAACCAAAAGGACATAACTGAGTATAATCAGGAGACTGACCGTACAACCTCTCAAAAGGACTGACATCACTAATGACTGATGAGGGCAACCGATTGATAGCATAAACCGCAGTCAAGGCTGCCTCACCCCAAAAACGATCAGGACACTGAGCAGAAAGAAGAAGAGCCCGGATAGTATCAAGAATGCGACGGTGTTTACGTTCAGCTCGTCCATTTTGTTGGGAAGTATATGGACACGAACGCTGAACTAAGGTGCCCTGATCAGAAAGAAATTTCAAAAAAGTAGAATCTTTGTACTCAAGAGCATTATCAGTACGCAAGACCTTTATAGGACAAGAAAATTAGGTAAGAATCATGTTAGCAAATTGAACATATATGCTGGACAACTCAGAACGATTTTT